TTCTTGATCCCAAAATGTGTATTTTTGCTTAAAAAGTTTACAATAGCAACTGAACAGGGGAACCTTGAGGAAGATATTAACATTTTTTATTGTAATAATCATACGGTATCAGTTCTAATTTCGTCTCTGCCAGCAAATTGTTCGTTCAATTGATACTATTTTCCTCCTAAATTCTCCAGTTTTGACTAAATTTTCTAGTAAAGTGTGTTCAATAGCGAAAACATGTATTAAACTGAAAGCAAGAATAACTTTAAAACATGGAAAAACTCTACGGAAAATCTTGAAAGTTATGTTGCAGAAGCAACAGAGAAATAATCATCAGTTATGAAGAAGTTTTCGTTGAATTTGAGCCAATATCGAATAAATTGTTAAGAAACATTTATCCCATTTTAAACAATTTTAGCAATAAACTGTTCATTTTTATCAATAATCTGAAATTTCTAATTTTTAACATGAAAAATTTCTCACAATTTGTAATTTTTGTACAAATTTGGGTAATTCAATGAGAAAAAAATGAGGAGGAGTTGAATCATGGAGTTTGTTTTAGAAATTTCATAGAATATTGCCCTTAATGTTCATTTAAAATGAGATTTCTAAAAATAATCCCTGAACTGGACAAAAAAAACAGTTAAAAACCAAAATAGAAGGTTCGAAATGGAAATTTCATGTAAATTTGATTAATTTTCATTTTACCTTCTCGAAAATTCCGACTAATTTCACTGTTTTCCGGAAGTTTCAATATTGATTCTGCTACTCTGAACCTTCTTTTCAGTGTTTAGAGCATTGTATAACCAAATATTTTGCTCAAATTAAGGTAAACTTCATTGTATTTCAATATTTTGAGAAAAAATTGTGGAAAAAGTCATTTTTTTATTCAAAATTTTGTATCATTGTCTCACATAATGCCAATTAAAATACAGTCTTAGCTTATTTTTAAAAAGCTCTACGTAAAAGTTTGTTTAAAATTAGATCAAAAGCAACAATACATTAGCCAAAATTATGAGATTTTTTTAAAATTTTTTTCCAAATACTTGAAATTTTTGCAATTTTTTCCAAATACTTGAGATTTTTGCAATTTTTTCTCAAAAAGTTTGAATTTTTTCGAAACTTCAGTAATTTTTAGCAATTTTTCAAGTAGATAGAAATAAGATTATCTAATAAAGTAGGTTTAATAACAGCTAATCTTATCGTGTTTTGAATTTAACAATTAATTATTCCCAATTAGATAACGCGCGCCAAAAATTTTCGTTTTTCTTTCTCATACCATAACACTGAAACCTTACCATCGGTATTCCCTATCTTAATACATTGTAGACTCTATATCCAATCTTAATACATAGCTTGAAGACCGGATGCTCTATTCCCTATCTTAATACATGTGGGTCTTCAGGGTCCACCCCCCACTTCAGCTCCAACATCTACTACTTTCGACCGTGCTCGAGGTATGTTTTGACCGTGCTCTAGGTATGTTTGGACCGTACTCGAATGTGCTCGACCGTGCTCAAGGTATATTTCGACCGTGCTCGAGGTATGTTTTGACCGTGCTCCAGGTATGTAATGGCCGTGCTCTAGGTTTTTTTGAACCGTGCCCGAGTTGTGTTTCGACCGTGCTGGAGGTATGTTTCGACCGTGCTCTAGGTATGTTTCGACCGTGCTCTAGGTATGTTTGGACCGTGCTTGAGGTATGTTTGGACCGAGCTCGAGGTATGTTTCGACCGTGCTCGAGTTATTTTTCGACCGTGCTCGAGGTATGTTTCGACCGTGCTCGACTCTGCTCGACCGTGCTCGAGATATGTTTCGACTGTGCTCGAGGTATATTTCGACCGTGCTCGAGGTATATTTTGACCGTGCTCCAGGTATGTATTGGCCGTGCTCTAGGTTTTTTTGAACCGTGCCCGAGTTGTGTTTCGACCGTGCTGGAGGTATGTTTGGACCGTGCTCTAGGTATGTTTCGACCGTGCTCTAGGTATGTTTGGACCGTGCTTGAGGTATCATTGGACCGTGCTCGAGTTATTTTTCGACCGTACTCGAGGTATGTTTCGACCGTGCTCGACTCTGCTCGACCGTGCTCGAGATATGTTTCGACTGTGCTCGAGGTATGTTTCGCCCGTGCTCGAGGTATGTTTCGCCCGTGCTCGAGGTATGTTTCGACCGTGCTCTAGGTGTGTTCCGACCGTGCTCTAGGTATGTTTAGACCGTGCTCGAGGTATGTTTGGACCGTGCTCGAGGTATGTTTCGACCGTGCTCGAGTTATTTTTCGACCATGCTCGACTCTGCTCGACCATGCTCGAGGTATGTTTCGACCGTGCTCGATGTGCTCGACCGTGCCTGGCTGTGCTCGACTGTGCTCGACCGTGCTCGAGGTATGTTTTGACGGTGCTCGACCGTGCTCGAGATATGTTTCGACCTTGCTCGAGGTATGTTTGGACCGTGCTCGAGGTATGTTTCGACCGTGCTCGAGTTATTTTTCGACCATGCTCGAGGTATGTTTCGACCGTGCTCGACTCTGCTCGACCATGCTCGAGGTATGTTTCGACCGTGCTCGATGTGCTCGACCGTGCTTGGCTGTGCTCGACTGTGCTCGACCTTGCTCGAGGTATGTTTTGACGGTGCTCGACCGTGCTCGAGGTATGTTTCGACCTTGCTCGAGGTATATTTCGACCGTGCTCGAGGTATGTTCCCGGGTTGACCTCCATAGACCGAAAATGCTAATTATACAATTTCATACACTTAGTCTATGGAAAAATGCTAGTCATACAAATTTCATACATTTTTGCAAAACGAGTTTAATCAAAATTCAAAGGTATTTTATAGTTGTTTTGGTATCGAAATTGGTATCTTTTCATTAAAAAAAGGAAAAAAAAATGGTATGAAAAAAATGATAACCATACAATTTCCATATATGGAAATTGTATGATTAGAATTTTGAAAAAAAAAATTTTTTTGTGAAAAAAAAAGCTTTGAACAATCAATTCAACTGCTCGCAAAACCTTTAAGAGTTTTTGGGCTGCTACGACTGAAAACTTTGACTTTTTTTTATTTTTGTTTTCTGAAAAAAAAACACTAGTCATACAATTTCCATATATGAAAATTGTCTGAATAGCATTTTTTTGGTGGCGACGACAAAAATTTTTCTAAATATTTTTGAAATTGCCCCAAAAACTTTTTGTGTTTTTTTTTCAAACGCAATTTGATTTTCGTATTCAAACAAACATCTTTTGAAAAAAAAAATTGTGCATGCAAAATTTAATTTTTTGTGTGTATAACGTAGTCTTGGATATACTAATATTGAATTTTTTTTCCTTTTCTTTTCATAACTTTTTTCAAAAACGCTTAAAACTCCTCTATCTTTTGTATGACATGTTTTTGTATGCCTTGATCAATGTCTGTTAATTTTAAAATTCAAATTTTAGAAATAATCATCTTTGAAAATTATTGCCAAAATTTAAAAGTTCATTACTTTCGTTATATTATTTATCTGAGGCAAAACTAACACATATCAGGCTGTTTCCAATGCATTTTTAATGCGAGACGACGGCCAAACCGTTGGTTACTACGCTTGAGTAATCAAGGTTTATGTCATTTTTGTGTTCGGTTACGAACACAACCAGCAAATTTTGAGAAAATAAAATGTAAAAAATCATTATTTTTGTTTTATGGAAAATTGCTAGTCATACAATTTCCATATATGAAAAAAATACTAATCATAGACCTTTCATGCAATTTTCTCTACGTATGGAATTGTATGGAAAGTGTATGACTAGCATTTTTCCATAAATGGAAATTGTATGACTAGTATTTTTGGTCATCCCGGGTACACAATCAGGCAATCCGAGGTATGTTTCGACCGTGCTCGAGGTATGTTTCGACCGTGCTCTAGGTATGTTTCGACCGTGCTCTAGGTATGTTTGGACCGTGCTCGAGGTTTGTTTCGACCGTTCTCTAGATATGTTTGGAACGTACTCGACTGTGCTCGACCGTGCTCCAGGTATGTTTCGACCGTGCTCTAGGTATGTTTGGACCGTGCTCGAGGGATGTTTGGACCGTGCTCGAGGTATGTTTCGACCGTGCTCGAGTTATTTTTCGACCGTGCTCGAGATGTGTTTCGACCGTGCTCGACTCTGCTCGACCGTGCTCGAGGTATGTTTCGACCGTGCTGGAGGTATGTTTCGACCGTGCTCTATTTATGTTTCGACCGTGCTCTAGGTATGTTTCGACCGTGCTCGAGTTATTTTTCGACCGTGCTCGAGGTATGTTTCGACCGTGCTCGACTCTGCTCGACCGTGCTCGAGGTATGTTTCGACCGTGCTCGAGTTATTTTTCGACCGTGCTCGAGATGTGTTTCGACCGTGCTCGACTCTGCTCGACCGTGCTCGAGGTATGTTTCGACCGTGCTGGAGGTATGTTTCGACCGTGCTCTATTTATGTTTCGACCGTGCTCTAGGTATGTTTCGACCGTGCTCGAGTTATTTTTCGACCGTGCTCGAGGTATGTTTCGACCGTGGTCGACTCTGCTCGACCGTGCTCGAGGTATATTTCGACCGTGCTAGAGGTATGTTTCGACCGTGCTCTAGGTATGTTTCGAACGCGCTTGGCTGTTCTCGACCGTGCTTGACTGTGCTCGACCGTGCTCGAGTTATGTTTCGAATTTGTGCTTGACCCAAACTCCTGTCTGGGTTATTCCTTTTCTGTCGAGCTTTGACATGTGCTCGACTTTGACAGCCGAAACGTAAAGTGAGCACCTCGACCTGGGTAAAAATCAAGCCTTCTTTTCAGACTTAAGTAGCAAACGTTTTTTAAAAAGCATAAAAATGGAAATAGCTGGATGGTAAACAAGTTTCTTGTGATTTCAACAAGTGGGAAAAAAATTAAACATCACATTTTTTAAGCTTTCTGGTCCTATTGGTTTTTGTCATTATATACTTTCGAATAATAGATGCGTACGAGAGCGTATCATCTCCAAATTATGTTTTTATTGTATACTCACTTTGGAAGCTATAACTTACAACAGCCTGTTAGCTCAACCAGTTATTTGCGCAAGTTTGATTTCAGCAGTTAAAAGCATCCATGCATGAATTTTTAATAACAAGAGCCTAACATGGTTTAATCTGTCACGACCTGAGCTGCCCCTGTCTGTACATTAGTTTGAAAGGAGCTCAAGGTCAAAGCAGGCGCTTAAAGGAGATTATGTCAGAAGAAGTTGCGTCTCTGCATTAGAACACAAACCCAAATGCCACCAACAATATTAGGCCTACTTGTGAGAAGTCACCCACATTTATCAGCAATGGTCCACTTCAACAAATCTCTTAATCTTTTTATCAAGAATTGAACTGCTTTGCCTTCGTTTCGTTTCTGAAACAATTTCATCATTATTACTCTCTCTAAGTGAAGTGTTTCATTAGTATTCTCCGAACAAAGTTCTGCTGATGCTTTTATGTTCGTCAAACTGCTACCTTGTTTTGCCCAAATCATCCGCATCAAGTCAAACCCCCAGAGGAAACTTTGCAATATCCCGTAATCAACTGTTCAACTAGAGCACCATTTGTTTTGACAACATCACCGCATACCCTTTCCCATGAGCATCCGGCAATTGCTTTTTCATGTGCTTACCACTTTTCCCAGCCACAATTTATTTGCCAAATTTTGAGCAGTTTATATTTTGCAACCTATTTCATTACTTTTTTGCTCAACAACTAACACATTTGGCTTAAGTCCCTATTTTTAATCGATTCAAACTCCGATTAAAACTAATTTGTACATTTTGTAGAATTCACTTTAGCTACAGGTTTGTTTTTGGTTAAATTTGACGAGCAAGTATGAAAGTGGCTGCCTACTCTTCAAATCTGCTTCTCTACTTACTTAATGCACACTTCTTTATTGTTAATGCACAGCAACAAAATGGAGTGGGCGAGGAGGAGAAGAAGATTCAGCCGCTGGCCAATTTGGAGGTGTTTGTTCAGCCGGAGGACATTGGCCTCATGTTCGGTTTGTTCGTAGACCGAATGCAAGTCGTGTCCGAAGTTGAAAACACCATTTCATTTGACGGCATTGAAATTGTAAGTCAATCCTAACACAAGTTTCATATTTCGATCACTGGAAAAAATGCATGGTAAAAAATCAATTATGTATATTGCTATTTTGTGAAAAATTAGTAGAAAAATATATAGTGCATTAGCAACCCGTTCCCGCAATCACTGCCGGGTGGGGTGCTCACTTCATGTTTGGTTAGTGCTCGACCTAAAAAGAATAGTGGATACAATACCAGGAGATCGAAACAGGTGTCATCCCTATGCGGTGCAGACAGACTGTGAAGAACATGCATGGATAGAGTCGACTCTATTCTTGGTGTTTTTACACCCTCTGTTTGTTCGAGTTTTTGCTCGACACAGACCATGTCTCGACTATTCTGTTTCGGTCGAGTACTCATACATTGTTTTTGTGCTTGACCTTGAAAGTTGAACGAGAAAGAGAGCACCTCCACTGGGGTCGATTGCTACCATTTCCTTCATACTCACCTCCTCATCCTATGGCAGAGCTGATTGAAGAGAACCCAATTCTGGAACTGATGTGCAGTGCAGTGAAGCAGTCGCCAGATAGAAACAAGTTCATCTGACTGGTCCTTCTATCGCCCACTTGCGGAGAATCAATCGTGTGACTGTGTGCTGCAAGGATGTATGTTTCCTCATTCATGACAAGCCCATAATTCCCCACACATTGTAGCATTGACACGGAGAGGTCTTCCACAAATCACAGCAATAGCTGTCGTCTTCGTCGTCGTCGTCCTTTTGAAGCAAAAAATAGTGAACATCATTACCCGCATCCAGTTTCAAGCGTTAATAATCGATTATATTACGATTTTAGTACCAGTCTCACTAAAATTGAGAAACAATCGATTTTAATCAATTAATAATTGATTATAATCTCTTTTTTTTCAAATCAAATTATAATTAATTATAATTAATTATAATCGATTATTTATTCGTCTATTTTTCCATACAATTATAATCGATTATAATTGATTATAATCCATTATTTTTATTCAAAATTCTATTTCGTTAGTTTTGCACAAAAATCCATTATAATCGATTATAATTGATTATAATCCCTTTTGTTTGTCCATTTTTGTCTTCGAAGTTGCATCTAAATTGCTTATATTTTATGCTTTTTGTGGACGTTGGTTCCTATGAAAAATGAGAGAAAATTTTTCAAAATTTTCCATTTAATTCATATTTATAAGTTTTTTTTTCCATTTCTTCCCCATTAGAGTTGTTTTGTGATGCATATTTTAAGCTTTTAAAAACACCAAAACATCAGCAAATTGATTTAGTTTCATGATTGATTCGGAAAAATTATCTTTCATCTACCGCGAGAAACTTTCCAGTCATATGACAGGATCTCTGTGAAACTTTTGTTTCGTGGTAAAACTTTGTGTTCAGATGAACCAAAGTGTTCAAGAGATCTCTCTTTTAGAGATTTTCTTATTGACACAAAAATAATAACCCATAAGATACAATTCGAAAATAGAAAAATTCCGGCAAAATAAGAGATTATAATCGATTATAATCGATTATAATTGATTTTAAGGGTTTTTAGTAAGAACTATAATCAATTATAATCGATTATAAGAGATTATAATCTCATGGAAAATATCACGATTATAATCAATTATAAATTCCTTAAGGACCTAATTTTGGTAATTATAATCGATTATAATTGTCAAAAAATCATCATAATAATCCGTTATAATCGATTATTTACGCCTAAACTTGGATGCGGGTAGGTTCATTAACGGCCTAATAACAGGAATGAAAGTTGAGTGACTGCTTGTTTTTCCTCCCCCTGTCAACCGACCCGTTCTAGTAACCAAACTTACCATCATTTCCAAAGTGCACAGAAATCCATGTCTGTTTGTGTGCTACTTTCCTCAACTAAGTACTCGCCAACTGTGTTGTCAAAAGGTGCGGCCAACGATTAAGACGTATCAGTCATGTCGCAATATAGCCTTTCGAAACAATCTGAAAACATGCTGTAAATAAAGGATCAATCCAAACTGCTGGCAAAATTATTGGCTTCAAGCGAGGAAGTCCAGTTGCACTTCGCTGGTCGCGTGGAAGATGAAAGTTGGCGTAAGCTACACTTGCTAAATTCACACGACTGTGAATTAGAGTTCAGAGCATCCGAAAAATGTAACAAAACCAATCGAACATTAGACTGTGGAATTGCTATGCAACAAACTGGAGCTCAGGCACTGCGTTTTCTGCCCACTGGATTGTTATCGGGCAGCAAGATTGCTTGAACTTGTTTCACCCAGACTACAGTCTAATCTAATTTTAGCTACCCCAAAACTACTCGATATCGCAGACGACGTTCGTAATCGAAAGCTGCGCACATCCAGGTCTTTACCTTTCACACTTCAATTCGACCGCAAAAATGAACACCTAAATGTCAACGGCTTGGGTAAATATAGTTGCCTCTAACTCAGGTTCAAAATAGATGGTGATCGATGGACTGCTTCAAAACTACAGAACAGCTAGCTTTAGCGTCGACGGAATGGGAAGGAATGAAAAAATCAAAAGAGCCAATTCTCAAATCAGTAGACAAATAGTGGAGGGCATTCCTGAAAGGCAAACAGAAAACTATTCACGGACAAAAAGTTGAGGATGTGTTCGCCTATCAATTTGTCCCGATAAAATTTCGGAAAACAATCATCATAGTTCATTATAATTAATATATCGTGCTCAACTCCTGTTCAGTTATGGCATCCCTCGATGACTCAAACTAGCCCTCTCAACACAAATTTTCTGTTAATTTTGAAATTTATGACATAAAAATTTCTTTGCTTGCATAATTTATATTTTCATGCATTAATTCACTAGTTGAATCGTCTTGCGGTTGAAAGAAAAAAGATTTCTAATTAGCCTTGTGATTTTCATATCGAGTTCGAAAAATGTGATTTTGTCTGTGTTTTCCTGAACCAAAACTCCATGTTGGATAAACAGCTGAACATAATTTTATAAGCAAATATTTAGTGCTGTCCTGTTAAAAAAAATTTCAATGTACCTATGAAATTCGGTTCTGTCGAAATCATTTCGGAGAAATTTAAAAAATGCTACCTCCTATTTTTCAGTGTTTTTGACTTGTGTAATTTTTTGTCCCGTCACGTGTTTTTTGATATCAAATATTAGTATAATATCAATTAAGCAAGCCTTCAATACAAAGGCGATTGATGTGTGAAAGCAATACATTTTTTTAGTTTGCGAATTTCAAAACAGTGTCATTTGCATAAAAAAGCAAAATTTTTTGCCGTGACTATATGAAGATGATGTAAATTTAAGTATCGACAGAAAAACATTGGGTCAAGAAGAGATTCCTGAGCTAGCCCAAAAAACCAAGCTCAAATTGATTCTTTTAAGAGTCTCAGTGTAATGATAGCGAGTGTCAAGATATAGCTTTTAACACAAGCCCTCTGAATCCCATAAATTCAAAATTCATAACCAAGTTAAAATAATCAGCCATATCAAACATTGAATGAGGTCTAACAATGTATTTCGAGGGTCTCGATAAAGAAGAAAACTATGAAAACACTGCCTTTTCAGTTGATGTGTTTCAAGCAAACAATTGACCGGAAATCAGGCAGTGTACAGTTTTAGTGTAGTTGGTAAAATAAACTATCAATCTTGTACGTTTTCCAAAATACTTTGACCTGACTCCTTCTCAAGTTGATCCAGAAGTTGAATTTGTATTGTAACTTAGTTGTTTTACCATTCGCAAAATTAATATCGTTTAAGCATCTAAAAGGGATGTTGTTGTATAACATAATGCTCTTACTAATGACGATTTTTTAGTTATTTTTCCTGTGAGAGCGTGTGATTTGAAAGAGCTTCTCAGTTCAAAGATGATAATAAACCTCTGAGTTTGGTAAGGATACACCTTTTTCTGATTGGAAGAGCGTGTTTTTGCTGAGGCACAATTTGATAACCTGACGTGATTCTATACGCAAGCAGAAACTTGCGTAATAAAAAGCCAATATTCGCTTTAAGTACAGCTGAAGAATCAAATTGACGTTTATGAAAGCAGGTTTAGCAGCCCAACTTAGTTGAATCTGAAGTGTGAGAAGTAAAAATTTGGTGTGTGTTGCAAAGATCAACGCCAGATATTGAAGATGGCTTAAGACCAAGGCAATGAGATTGTAGTTTTCTTTTTTTTTCGGTATACAGCCACTGACTCTATATTGGTTTCAATGCCATGTTCCATTTTCAAGAAAAGCTGTTTAATACCGTCTTGATATTTCAAACAACTATATATAAAAATGTTGTTTCTTTTACTTTTCTTTTAATTGTCCAACAATCTGGAGCTCTTGTTTTTTTTTGAATCTTTCTTTTTGGTAGAATGATTTATACGGTCAGTTTGTTCTTTTCAAATTTTCAGATAGTGAAAACAAAAGCAATCTAATTAAATGTTAAGTATTTGTGTTTTAATGGATAGTTTTAGATTCATTCCACTCGAGAGTAAAACTGTTTCATTTGCGTATAATATAATCTGACAGTTTGAGGTGGTTTTTATATCGTTAACTTGAATGTTGAAAAGAGATGACCTGCTAAATTTGAGTGGAGCAGGTTCGTAATTTTTTGAGATCGTCAATAAAAAATTTTTAAGCGTACAATGGGTCAAAATTGTCCATGATAATGAAGACCCTCATTTACTAACATAGGCTATAGAGTATCCGGTTTTCCCCTACTTTTTAACAAGTTCCAGATGCTAAATTATGAAAAAAAAATTCGTCATGTTTTGCCGATACAACAAAGTTTGGTAGTCTGATCGAGATCTGTCAAAACTGCATCAGATGTTATCTCCCGCGGGGAACGAGATTGTTGATAAAAGTACACAATTTTGTTCGTTTAATCAAGCAGGGTAGTGGATGTAAATTTAAACTATCTCAAACATGTATATCAATACTGCAACATATGTCAAATGTAACCTCCACGATGAATGAGGACGCTGAGGTAGGCAAGCAAAATAATTGTTTGTTCATTTAAGCGAGGTAGTGATTAAAAAC